CATGTCACATTCACCCTTTCACACTCATTCACTCAGTGATGGCAAAGTCCATCAAACAGATACTAACTCATTCATACACATTCACACACCGATGCACAGAATCAGCAATTTGGGGTTCAGTATCTTGCTCAAGGATACTTCGACACATGGTGGGAGAAGCCAGGGATCGAACGAACAACTTTCAGATTAGGGGACGACTCGCTCTGCCTCTGCACCACAGTACTGTAAAATTACAGGTGTTGTCTATGGAGTCTGGTTGGCCATAATGCCCATGGTTTTGGTCTGAGATGCTGGTGCTTTTGTGTGACAGTTGCAAATTAATTTTATATGTATAACCATTTTCCAAGTGACCATCCACCATGTTATTTTTGACTAAATATGTTCATGACTATGCATGTTTGTTTCCAGTAATAACAAATACTAAAATAAGGGAAGTAAAAATGTTATTGCCTTCTTCAGCATTCTGGAGCCATTCAACAAACTTCTTCATCTGTTCCAAGAAGACACTCTTCCCTTTGGCACCGTGGGCATCTTTGTACCACTTCAAGATGGCCTCCTCGCTCAGGACATCAGCTGAGTTAAGAGAGAAAAACATTCAGTACTGGGAGCTTAAAACTTCTACTGAAGGACAACAATGACAACACATCTAAAAAGATAAATCAGGAGTGGATGCGAGAGGATACAATTGATGGATGCAGTGTGGATGTGTAAGATGCTGACCTTTGTAGAAGAGCACCACTATCTTAGAGAAGGACTTCATGAAGTGGATGTTGTCGTAGCAGTACTCCTGGATCTTCAGGAGCAGCACCAGCTCAGACTGACCCTGAGTGCTGAACATCGCCAGCAGAGGAGCATAGTGCTGACAAAGAGCACACACACAATTCCATTGTGAACACATGACCTTGAATACCTACACAAATGTTCATGTTAATATCAAGGCTAACAGTTAAATCCCCAGTATGTAGGATTTTAGTGGATTTCTAAGGGAACAAATACACAACTATTTATTTTTAGGTGATTATACACTAATGTAAACATACCTGAATGAATATTATATTACATTTCTCTCAATAGATCCTACTAAATGTTACACACTGGACCTTAAATCAAATGTGAAAAACAAAACTAATGCCAATACTAACTGTCAGCATATATTGAAAGTTTCAGCTGATATGTCAGAAGATTATTTTTTTAAAGTAAAAAAAATCCATACTACACCTTTAAAATACTAACACATGTTTTATAACCTGTTTCCTGTTCTGAAATTGGACCTCTGTCACAAGCTCTATTGTTTTTTCTGAACGCAGTGGAAAGAGTCGATGAGGGACACTATGTACAATAAAGCACTGTGATCAGCTGTGTGTGACCTACTTTGAGGTGTTTGAGTGCCTGCTCTGTGACCAGCTCCTCCTTCTTGTTCCACTCCACAGCATTCATCAGGCACGTCCACAACAGCCCAATCACAGCCTGCTCCTGCAAATGGTTCCTTTTCATCTCCTCCTTCACATACACCACCATCTGAACACACACACACACACACACACACACACACACACACACGTATACAGTAATGTCTGGCTCAAAATCTAGTGACACTGACAGCACAGTATGTTTCCTACATTGGGAGATGTGTACCTCTCTGATGGGGCATTGCTGGGACAAGCGCTCCTGCAGTTCCTTCTGCAGCTCTTTGCGGGTTCCCAGGCTCTGCTGTATGCGCAGGAAGTCAGACAGCTCCTTGAGCCCAGCTTCCTTGAAGTACTTAGAGAAATGCTCCACATTCTGCTTGTTAGCGGGAAACAGCTCCTGAGGTCAAAATGGGAAAGTTTTTTTAATCATATATGCTGAAATTTTCATTATATTTTGACAGTAGTACATGAGACAGATAATCTGTAAAATTCTGGTTTCTCTGGTTCTTCCTAGTGCTCCTAATGGTATTTGCAAGAATCCACCAGACCTGAACAAAAACAACCAATCAGAGCTGAGAAAGATAGTTGATTGTTGAGTCTCATTGCCAGGGACGCTTTGGGAAACTGGAAATGAGACTCATCAACTATGTTCAAGCTTCTAACCCAAAGCGTCTTTATATCTTTCAGGATATAGTGAAAATTTCAGGAATAATGACAAAAAGTTATTTTTATCGAATTTACCTACTGCAGCTTTAAATCAATCTTGTATAAGTCATGGTCTGTTTGCTTGGTCTTTAATTTGAAAAATCCTATTGCTCACAGTAAGAGATGCAGTTTGTGAGCACGTTGAGGAACATGGCCGCCTCGAATGGAGCTCCCAACAGAACAACCCAAAACCTCAAAATGTGATAGATAGAGTTTACTCTAAAGTGATAAAAGTGTGATTGAGAACTTTCCTTTGGCACGGTGTAACAAATATAAGTTTTAGATGGCAACGGGGAAAAGCCAACAGCCTCCTAGAACGCTGCGAAGTAACGCTAACAACATGGCGGACATACAGGACGGCGACAAACAAGAAGAAGCTACTGCGGCTGGTCCAGGTGGTGATAAACAAAGCATGGATGTAAGCGTCCTGTCTGCTATGCAAAAATCACTCGGAAAAGCTATGGATGAGCTTGGGCATGTTAGTAAGTTACTACTGATATTGCAAGCTGATATTGACCAAGTTAAAAAGGACAATGCGGGGCTCCGCACGGATGTTAATGGCGTCATACAGCGTCTGGAGGCAGCTGAAAGTAGGATATCTGATTTGGAAGACGAAAACGTTGGCCTTCGGCAAATAGTGGAGAGAAATGTCAAGAAGTGTTCAGTGCTTGAGGCGGCCCAGCAGGATGCCAACTTTCGGGACAGATGCCAGAATCTGGTTCTGGTTGATTTGGAAGAGAAGTTGGAAGAGGGCAAACCGGAGACATGTGTGAGGAACATCATTGTCGAGGCTCTGGGCGTGCCGGTGGACCAAGCACAACTACAGAGAGTGCATCGGGTCCCCTGCGGACCAGTGGTGGATGAAAATCGCTCACCGAGACCTATTGTCATTCGCTTCTTGTGCTTCTTGGAGAAGGAGAAGGTGTTTGCTGCCGCGAAACGGAAGTATAGGGAAGGGCAAGGAGTGGAGTGGAAAGGGTGCAAGCTTTCTTTTTTCCAAGACCTG